TATTAAGAAGTTTGGAAAGTAAAAGAAAAAAAATAGGCACATACATACACATTGGTTTCTAGAACATGGAAAGAGTCCATTTTAGCAAGGGTAGTTTATAAAGTGGAAAGAAATGTTCTCCAGTTATATGGAAAATCAGATGCATAGGCTTACAGAGTTGGGAAAGACTTGTAAAGATCATCAGTCTTAGGGGTTCTCAATCCTGGGTCCTGTGGGGCCACTTCAGGTGTGTTGCTGGACAGGGAAGGATGGGAGACCTACCTTGCTTCAAACCAAGTAGCTCTGCCTTCATCTCCGCCACACATTGGGCTTCCCTGTGAGATTTTATAAAGAAGCAGCTTTCTTACAGGTTAAAAAAAAAAAAACACTCCTGTAAACTACAGATTAAATCCAACCACTCAGGCAGTCCCTGAACACCTTCTATAGGCAGATTAATAAACGCAGACAAACACATAGGTCTCTGTAGTTCCCTAATTTGTTGTGATCCTAATTTGTAACTTCAGTAAAGTGTGTTTAGATAACTGTTACTAGTGGAACAGTATACACAGAAAACCCAACGTTGTAGCTGAAATTAGAATTTTCTGAACATATTCTTTCACTCCAGGGGTGGACACAGGTAATGCATTTCTCACTGGGTATGAAATCTAATGTCAAAGGAATTATTGGAAGTCTTTGTGAAGTGGTAATTTTAGGTTTGACTTGTGACAGCAGGTGGAGCTAGTCGTAGGAACTCCATTTCTAGACCCTCGAAAGAGCAGTGAGATGTATAAAACTTAACATTAATATGTTTGCATTACAATGCTTTAGGAATAGCAGACTCTGAAGCCTTGTTTTTGGAAAGTGATCATATTAATAATAACGTGAGAGTCAAGCTGAATGAAAACTTCTCTGTCCTTTTTAGAAAAAGGGTTTGTTTTGCATTTGAATATGTGTTCCCAGGGAAGACAAATTAAGGGTGTGTATTGGGGCGGGGGGAGCGTATTGGCTTTAAAAACTAACATTATGTGGAAAATAGTGTGAAAGAACTTGATTAGATACATAGATTGGTTTGTGTTATTAGATTGGTTCTCTGTTTTTTAACAGTTGTCATGGAGTCATTTCCGACTCATGCTGACTGTGTGTGTATAGAGGATAACTGTACTCCATAGGGTTTTCAGTAGCTCATTTCTCAGAAGTAGATCTTCAGGCCTTTCTTCTGAGTTTGCCTCTGGATAGACTCAAACCTCCAACTTTTCAGTTAGCAGCCAAGCGCATTAACCATTTGCACCACCCAGGGACTCCTGTTTCTCTTTTTAGGGGGTAAGAAACACACATTTTCCCCTAGCAAAAGCTAAAGATGTTTGCTTTTTATTCTGCAAGATTGTGAAATAAAGACTTGAATATAGCTTCAAATACTGACAGGTTATCTGAATATGTAATTTGAAACAGATCACTACTCTTGTACTGATTTCATCAAGCCATAAAGTTGTATTTCTTTTTTCCCTTGTTTTCTTCTCCCTAGTCAGATGCAATGATAAGCAAAGGGTAAATAGAATGCCTGCACTTCATTTCACTCAGAATTTTGTTTGTCTGGTTTTTAACGTATCTTATGTATTAAGAAATTGGGGTTATTTTGTTAGCTATGTGAATAAAGAGTGACCTACTTTTTTCTGGCATTAGTTCACAGAGTTGTAAGAGCATTTAAACATGCGTTTTAAAGCTTTTTGCTTAAAGTGAAAAATAACATCTTCCTATTCATAATTTTATTTATTTATTTGGAAAACATGTAATGAATGCTGACTGCCTGCTAGGCACCATACTGAACACTGGGGATAAAATAAGATTTTGAGTAATATGTCATACTTTCCCCCAGTGTGTCATGCAGACATATAGCCAAATAATTGTCATAGAACCTAATAGATTGTATGATTGTGTTATAGACAGAGGGCTGTAGGGCCACAGGAAAGGGACTCAGCTGGGAGAAATCAGGGAAGCCTTCAAAGAGGAGGTATTGCTTAGGTTGCATCTGGAAAGACATAGAAATTTACCAGGAGAAAAAAGGAGACTGCATTCTAACACGGGCAAAAGTATGGGAGTATGGAAGAGCCTGTTGTCTTGGGGTGGCACCAGAAAGTTTGCTTTGGTTGTAGTTTTTGCTCTCTGGGATGAAATGGTTGATGATGAGGTTAGAGAGGTAGGTTGGGGTAAGATTGTGAAGGACCTCATAGGATATGCTATGATCCTCGAATAAATTATTTGAGAACTTCAACTGATCTAAATGTTATTTAATTTGAGTAGCTTTTGGTGTTCATGACACTGAGGTCATGGATTTCATCCTATGGGAATGTGGCATGGCCTAGATTTCAGTTTTAACCTTAGCTGTTAACCTAAACCAAACCTATTGCCTTGGAGTCAATTCTGACTCATGGCGACCCCTTGTGTATCAGAGTAGAACTGTACTCCATAGGGTTTTCAATAGGTATGACCTTTTGGAAGCAGACTGCCAGGCCTTTCTTCTGAGGTGCCTCTGGGTTGGTTTGAACCACCAACCTTTCTGTTAGTAGTTGAACGCTTAACTGTTTGCGCCACTGGGGACTCCAGCCTCACCCAGCAGTTTTAAATATGTTCTCTGGTCACAAGGTGATTAGATGAGAATGGAGATGCAGCAATACATATCCTTAACCACTGCTGGAAAAAAAAAAAATGCTACATATCTTAGTTCAGTATGACACGTATTTATTGAGCATATGCTATGTGCCAGGTACTCTGCTAGGTGCTGGAAAATATGCCCTGTTGCTTAGAGTATATCCAGCTTCCTGCTTGACTTTTCCTTTTGAATGTCTGAGGCATCAAATACTTAGCATGTCCAAATCTTAACCCTTTATCTCACCCTCCTCCCCTAGTCCTGCACTTTCTCTGGTCTTCTCCATCTCTTTAAATGATTCCTCAAGCCACCGAGGGATTAGTCTTGACACATCCTTCTTTCTCATTCGCCATATCTAGTCGTTTCTCAAGTGATGTCTGTTCTGCTCCAGAATATATCTGGAAACCTTCTACTTCTCTCCGTTCCCGCTGCAACACCCCAGCAACCACATCTCTTGCCAGTAGGCTCCTAACTGGTCTCTTTTTACATTTTTGCCCTCAGTTCAATCCTTTTACAAGATAATAGCCAGAAAAAATCTTTTAAAAAAATCTAATCAGATCATGTCACTTCTCAATTCAAAACATTTTATTGACTTCCTGTTGTAGTTGGTTGCCATTAAGTCAGTTACGACCCATGGTAATCCGGCATGTGCAGAGTAGAACTGCACTCTGTGGGGTTTTCAGTGGCTGTGGCCTTTCAGAAGCAGATCGCCAGTACTTCTTCCGAGGAGCCTCTGGGTGGGTTCAGACCAGCAACTTTTTGGTTAGTAGTCGAGCAGTTAACCGTTTGTGCCACGGAGGATCTCACTGACTTCCTGGTGTACCTTAAATAAAACCCAGATTATTTACCATGGCCCACAAGGGCCTCTGTGTTCTGGCCCTTGTCTACCTCACCAACCTCATCTTGTGTCTCTTTATCTTGCTTATTACCTTCCAGCCACAATGGCCTTTTTTCATTTCTTCTACTTTCCTACCCCACGGCCTTTGCACATGCTGTTTCTACTGCCTGGAATGCTCTTCTTCCCATCCTTTAGCCAGTTAGCATCTTCTCATCTTTAGGTCTTAGCATAAGTATTATCTCCTCCAAGAGATCTCTCCTTGGCTGGGGTCTACTTACAGGAGGTTTCCTGTAACTCTCTCACATCATCTTATTTTTCCTCTCATTGCACATGTTGTAGTTTGTAATTGTGCATATGCTTGCATTTTAACCTGTGTCATGACTGTCTCTCCCACTAGACCAGTTGCTCCCTTGGGACTGGAATCATGTATGTTCTCCTTTCCTCTCTGTTTCCAAAACTCTCCTTTCCGCTCTGTTTCCAAAACTTAACAGCGTCTGGCACCTGGTAGGTCTACAGAATTATAAAAGAATGATTTAAAAACATTAAGATAGATTTATTCTTTTAGTTTCTAAATCCTGAGTTTAACTACAAATAAGAAAAACATGGAAAATTAAGAAAACAATTTTCTACATTTTTTAAGCTAGTGGAGCTATTTTAGGCTAGTATAGCTCAGTATTACCTCACAAAAAGGAAAAGGATACGCAGTCTCAAAAATTATCACATGGTTATTGTATGATTTGGGGCTATTTTTAAAATGGAATGATAATTTTTTAATGGAAGTCCTGACTTATAAAAAGGATCTGTTCTTTTTATATATTTAGGTCTCAATTCACTAAAATGTTTAAATTCTTGGCTCCGCTCTTTAAACCTACTACAAAGATCACATTAGAATTCATTTTAATAGAGATTGTAAGCACAGTATCCAATCTCATATTATCACGCTGGGCACTTTTATTGTGAAAGTCACAGGAAGCTGAGCCTGAGGCTGCTGAACACGTCGTGGGGTGCATCTGGGGCTGGGGACAGTGCCAGCTCTATTGTTTATGTAATATTCTCTGCACCTTTGCCTGTGGTGTGCAATTGGTATTGGCTTTTGAGAAACTACTTCTTTGACCCGATCTCCCAGTTGGAAAAAAACCTGCCGTAATAACATCTAACTGGGAAGAAAAGGATCAAAGAAGCATAAGGAAAGAAAAATTATGAGGCCTTGTTTAATAAGTAGTTTCGGGCCTGTCTGTTAGGTCTGTTAGAGGAAAGAGTGTCCAACTTTTTCAAGGTCATCATCCCTTTATCCCCTGAAATAGTGAAGTGAACTCTAAGTGTCTATCATTTTTACTACTGATTGCTAGTATTGGGTCTACTGCATGTTAGCAAAAATGTTTTTTCTACTTTATAGACCTTTAGGAGTAAAGCGTGTTCACCAAAATGAAGATAAAATTTGATGATTTGTGATATTTATTACTAGTCTTCTGTTTCTTTTTCTTTTCTTTTAAAGAGGAAGATATTCATCTTTGGCAAATTGTCTTTTCCGACTTTTAGGTATATTACTTGGGGACTTTTTAAACGTTGTGAGGAAAAAGAAGGAAGCTCAACTATATTGGAGTGAAATCAGACACATCTTCACAGCGTTCGACAGGCACTGTAAGTATCTTTGAAGCTTTTCGATATAAAAAGAGTGGTATTAAGGAACTATGAATGAGAATATATACTCAGTAAATTAAATGTAAGGAGGCCTGGTGGTACAGTGGTTAAGTGCTCAGTGGCTAACCAAAAGGTCAGCAGTTTGAACCCACCAGCCACTCGACGGGAAAAAGATCTGGCATTTTGCTTCTGTAAGGATTACAGCCTTGGAAACCCAATGGGGCAGTTCTGCCCTGCCCTAGAGGGTTGCTGTGAATTGGAAGTGACTCTACAGCACACACAAACAACAACAAATTAAATATACAATATACGGGTAGTCCCTGACTTACAACAGGGTTCCGTCCCGACGACTCCATCATAAGTTGGTTCTGACATAAGTAAAATACCTCTTTTTTTTTTCAGTTTTCATTATTACTGCCTTTTATTATCAGTGTTTTTATAAATCCAATCTTTACTTGTCTTTGAGGGTAGAAGACATTGCGTATAAACTTAGAGATATATTTTAATACATACGTATTACTAACAATAGGATATACAAAAAAACCAAAAAAAACAGACTATTGTAAGTGCCATTCATCGTACCTCAAATATATCGTAAGTCGGGGACTACTGTACTTGGAAGATGATTTTACAGGTAGTCCCCAACTTCCAATGGGGTTCTGTTCTGATAACTTCATCATAAGTCGATTCTGAGGTAAATCGAATACTTCATTTTTTTTTTTTTTTTTTTTTTGTTTTCATTATGATTGCCATAGCCTGCTATATGGTAGTGTTTTAAACAGTAAATCATAACACTGAACATCTGTGAGTGAACATCTGAGAATGATAACATCAGCAAATTACAAGCTGCAACGTTGTATTAGTACATATTACTAACGATAAGATGTACAAAAAAACCCACAACAACAAATGGTTGTAAGCACGATTCATCTTAACTTGAATACGTCGTAAGTTGGGGACTACCTGTGCTATATTCATTAGCTATTTCTTTAGGAGTCGGTGGAAATTGTTTCCTTCATGGCGATCTTAAACTCTTGACATTTACCAAGGCTGAAATAATGTTTTCAGTTATATAATTGTACCTATGAGTTGCCTATATTCTAACGGGGACAGCAGAAGGACTTGCCGAGTTGGGATACAGGCCTGGAAACACCTGCGGAAGTGGGGGAGACCATGTACCTTCTCCTTTAACTCCTGTTTTGACCTGTGCATTATGGGATCTTCATACTGAGCTGCTTAATGGTGGCCCTTTATTCATTTGTTTTCCATGTTGTTGACACATGTTGCAGTTTATGCATCATACCTGATAAAGTGGATTTAAAGATTATATTATCTAGTTTTTATAAACCAATCCTTATAAAATAGACAAGTGGCTTAAAATAGCTTTTTTGAGGAAACTGTAGATTGAAAGTGATATTAATGATGTCAGCACGTGCTAACAATGAGAAAACGGCAGAGCTGACACTTCCCTCCTCCTGTGTCCCGCAGATAGATCACATATATGGATGAGAAAAGTTATGGAGGCCAGTGTCAGTGTCTTGGCTGCCATTATGGTTTTACCCTAAATACAATATATCATAGTTCCAGTACCAAGCAAGAAACAAAGGAGAATTTTAAGAATGAATTGTTTCGACAATTCACAAAGACTCGAAGCCTATGGCATTATTGTAGAATGTGTCTTTCTAGTCCTTTTCCCTGGGACTCAGAGAACCAGTGAGTTTTAGGCCTGGACGTTTGAGGTTATCTGCAGCTGCACTTAGGGAGGGAGTATTACTAGATTTTTAAGTGTTACTAAGTTATTACTAGTTAGGAGGAAAGGGAGCAGAAAATAGGCCCTTCTCTTTAAGGATATACATTATTTCTAGTTTCGTCCCAGTGACCAAATCTTTTTGACCTCTTCCAATGAGACAGTTTAGGATTGTCTTTATTTGTAAAATCAACTATAAATTACTGCTTTTCTCCTGATAATATGTTAAAATAAAGCTTCATGCAAATATTATGGTGGCTGAATTAACAGTTTATAGGATTTGTAGAAGTAAGTGAGTACTTTATCTTTTATTTTCAAAAAGATCGTGGATTTTTAACTTTGGAAGATTTCAAGAAAGCATTTAAGCAGGTGGCTCCCAAATTACCAGAGAGGATTATTGTTGAGGTATTCAGGTAAGTCACCAAAATCTTCCTGTACACTCATCTCTTGGTTTACCATTTGCTTTTATAGCTTTTCAGTTTTATGAATACTTATGCTGATTTTTCACTTATGAGCATTGTCACTTCACAGCATATTGTCATGGTTCAGGAGAGGAATTTATAATTAGCCACAGTGATTAAGGGCTCGGCTGCTAATCAAAAGGCCAGCGATTTGAACCCATGGGAGAAAGATGTGGCAGTCTGCTTCCGTGAAGATTTATAGCCTTGGAAACCTTATGGGACAGTTCTATCCTGTCCTCTAGGGTTGCTATGAGTCAGAGTCAACTTGATGGCAACAGGTCAACAGGTATTGAGTAATTGGGAAATGGAGCAGCTTGGGCCATATGATCTGGCCAGCTCGGTGAGCTTGAGTCCAGTGGTTCTAAAAGTGGGTGGAGTGTTTGTACCCTGGGGAGGTACATCACACCATTAGGTGGTGGGGGTGGCAGAGGAGCAGAAAGAAAGTAGAACTTCTCCATTTATTTATGTATCCGCTAAAAAAAATGAAACTTTATTAGTACTTAACATTGGTCCTGGTTTTCTCCTGTGGCCTGTATATCGGTCACACAGCTAGTGTGTGATTCTTGAGTTGTCTGGAGAAAAGAGTTGGAGTTGCTTAATGGTGGCCCTTCATTCATTTGGTTTCAATGTTACAGACACATGCTGCAGTTCATGTATTCCTGATTTAGAGGTTATATTATCTGATTTTTATAAACTTATCTTTACAAAATGGACAAGTGGCTTAAAATAGCAAGGAAACTGCACATTGAAGGTGATGTTAATAGTGCCAGCACATGCTAACAATGAGGAAATAGCAGAGCTGACACTTCTCTGACTCCTAGCATGAGGCCTTCTTCAAGGTTTTTACAAGGTATATTAATTAGCGTTCAGTACAGAAGTGAGACCAAGAAAACTCAAAGTAAGAGAAACTCAAAGAAGGTAGAAATGTATTTCCCTGCCACATAAACAGCCAGTCCAGGGTTGGTTTGATGGCAACACAGTCGCGAAGGACCCAGACTCCTTTTCTTGTTGCTGTGGCTGCCTCAACACCTGGCTTCTCCTACCTGCTTCAAGATGGTTGCTTGAAATCCAGCTAGTTAGGAGAAAAGGGAGCAGAAGATAGGCCGCTCTCTTTAAGGATAAATATTTCCACTTACATCCCAATGACCAAAACTTAGTTCCAAGGCCAGGCAGGAGGCTGGAAAATGTAGTCTTGCTCTGGGAAGTCATGTGGTCCATTAATAGAAATTCTGTTACTGAGGAAGAAGAAGAGAATGGATATTGGGGGACATCTGGCAGGACCAGCCATTTGAGATAAAAGCAGTTTAACGAAACCTGACCAGAAGCCAGCACCCCAGTAGAACTTATCAAGCAGGTTATTTGAAATAAGGAGTTGCATTCACTATCATTAACAGTGGCATCATGTATGAACTTAACTTGGTACATCATTCACAAGCATGCTGTTGAGCAAGCTATTTGAATAAGGGCAAAGAAGTTAAATCTAGAAACATGCAATATTAACTTAGTTGATTTTATGAAATAACTATAGTAGCATCTTTGTATATACTTTGTGATGATATGAGTAATAAATAATCAAGTTTCATCTTTATTTTGGTGAATAGTATTTACTCCTAAAGATCTATAAAGTGGATTGTTATAAAGTAGAAAAAACATTTTTTGCTAGTACAAAGCAGACCCAATACAGTAGCAGTCAGTAGTGAAAATGGTAGACACTTTCATTTTAAAAGCCAAACCAAAGAACAAACAAACAAAACAAAACAAACAAAAAATCAGACTTGGGGCATAAGACATCAAAGAACCATTTTACTTTTTGACGGTGGAAATACTGAAGGTGCTAAACCATTGTTGGTGTATCATTCATTAAATCTGACGGTATTACAAGAGCATAATGAGATGCTTTTATAAGGTCTGTGAATTGTTGCCTAACTACTCTAATGATATTTATTTTAATAATTTTATCATTAATGAAAGCAGTGTGTGTGTGTGTTTCATTATATTGCCAGGGTTCATAGCATTCACATTCTGTTCTGTAATCATAATTTCCTCATTTGTTTTAGCCTTAGTTCTACAGTTAAATGGATTCAACACTCACTTCTAAGCCTTGTGCCATAGTTTCTGCTTAGCTGAAGTTTATTCTCTAGTAGGGATCATAACTGTATTTCCTCTTATCTTTCATGTTCGAAGGTGTTTTTCCAGGCCGTCGTACTTGGATAAAAGTATATAACGGATTGAATGTTAACATTTTTGAGTCACAGTCTTTTTCTTTGAGAACACTGGTTATGTTTATGTTGGAAGTCCTTTTAAATTTCTATTTCAGTTGCTTGCTTTGCCCACCATGTCTCTTAATATGTTTTCAGAGGTGTCTTTTCTCTTTTGTCCTGTGTCCAGTATGGATTTTTTTTTTCCTGTAATGGTTTTATTTTTCTCTTGCACTTCTTTCTTGAGCTATATCTGCTGATGCTTCATTTTCTTTTGTTATTTTACTGTATCTTGCTATTTTACAGTATCTCCTCTAAGCCTTTTAATCTCTGCTTTCAACTCTTGTTTTATAGAGGTATTTGCTTTACTAGGGGAAACAATTATTTTTAAGACTTTATTTTTAATGGGTGATTGCTTAAGGTTTTCCAGTTATAACTTTTTCCAAGTAAATTATTGAAAGCAACTTCACTACTAAGGGAAGAATTTTGGGGAGCAAATTGCTTTCTTAAACCAAGGGAGAATATCTCATGTTAAAAACTTACTTTGGACATATTATCAGGAGGGATCAGTCCCTGGAGAAGGACATCATAGTTCATAAAGTAGAGGGTCAGCAAAAAAGACAAAGACCCTCAACAAGATGAATTGACACAGTGGCTGCAACAGTGGACTCAAGCATAACAACGATTGTGAGGATGACACAGGAGCAGGCAGTATTTTGTTATGTTGTACATAGGGTCGCTGTGAGTCGGAACCAACTCGATGGTATCTAACAACAACAACAGTTTATGCCATCTCTAAACATATCATAAAATGTTTAATATTTAGATTTCAGAATTTGAGATTCCTTTCAGTGTTTGAAACTTTAAACTTTGATTTCCACTTAAAGCTAGTAGCACTGATTTGTGTACTAAAATGGCTGAGGCCATATCAAAGATGATGTTTCATTATTATTCAGAAGTTCTTAGGAAATTCTTTCCTTGAAGACATTTTTTTTCCTGCCTACTACAAATGGCGGAAGTTTAAGAGGCAGAAGAGTTGATTAATGTTATGTTTGCACTGTAGATAATAGGCTCTTTCCAGCGCTAAAAGATTGAAACAAGAAACTTCTTTCCTCTTTAACACTAATAGAACTTACTAAGAACTTTGTAGTGGTTGTCTTTTTTTTCTTTTTAATGTTCAAAAATCATGAGTGACCCTAATGGGTGAGGTTAAAACTCTTTAGCCTAGCTCTCTAATATCTGGTCTCCAGGGCCTCCTGCCTTTCCAAACTTATCTTTCATTCACCCCAAATTCCTACATTTCCTTTGGCATAGTACTTGTTACTTTCAATATGTGATGTGCACATCTCATTCTGCTTCCCTTGCCTGGCACTGCCTTACCCTTCTCCCTACCTATCCAAATTAGAGCTACCTTTCGAGTTCCTGCTCAGTAAAGCTTTTTTTTCTTCCTTTGCCTTGCACAGTCATCTTTCCTTTCTCTAAATTCTGATATCATTTATTGTGTTTTTTTTCTCAATTACTTACTTGATAAACAACAATACAGTGTTTATGATTATCTCCATAAAATACTACAAGCTCTTTGAGTTTATGAATATATCTGTAATCTCCACTGTTCCTGGCATGTTGCCTTGTGCATTGTAGTTACTTAATAAATACTTGTTGGTCCATTGTCACTTACTCTAGATACCCAGTGACAATAAATTTCTTCATGGTTTAATTTGCTTCTTAAAAACTAGAATAGAGTACTTTAAAATGCCATCAGGAGGTTTTTAACCACATGTGGCTTTGCTTTACGTTTTCTCTTTGTACATATGATTTTCATGAATTAATCTCTGAAGGCCTCTCTGCTTTTTGGGAGGAACATCTTCAGTTTGCGATTTAGCCTCCACTGTCATCAGGAAGGATCCCTGGTGGCACAGTGGTTGAAAGCTCGGCTGCTAACCAAAAGGTCAGCAGTTCAAATCCACCAGCCACTCCTTGGGAACCCTATGGGGCAGTTCTAGTCTGTCCTATAGGGTTGCTATGAGTCAGAATTGCCTCACTGGCAATGGGTTTTGTTTCGGTTCAGAGGTCATCAGGAAAGGAGCCCTGGTGGCACAGTGGTTAAGCACTCAGCTGCTAACTGAAAGGCCAGTGGTCCAAACCCATCAGCTGCTCCCTGGGAGAGAGATGTGGCAGTCAACTTCCATAAAGATTACAGCCTTGGAAACCCTGTGGAGCAGTTCTACTCCGTCCTATAGGGTCTCTATGAGTTGGAATCGACTTGATGGTAGTGGGCTTTGTTTTTGGTCTGGTCATCAGGGAACTGGTTTAATGTTCTTTCTTGACTTTGCCTGCCATCTGCACCCTGTGGTATTTCTGGCTGGTGTTTTTCTCTGTGTGGATATGTTTACTTCTCCATGCCTAGGAGCCTTCTCTGTCTCATTGTCAGCACTGAGATTTGTACATTCCCACCACCTGTCAGTTGGCAAAAAGCTCTGCAGAAGCTTCCCCGCCATGAAATGAAGCATGGACATACAGAAGGCCCTCTCCGTGGCCCACCGTCCGTGGTCTCAGTGCATAGACGGAGTGCCAGAAGCCTGTAATGTGCAAGTACTGAAGTGCCCGAATACTCTCTGGTCATGACTGGAGACATTTAAAGTTATATCCTGATACTTTTGGTGTCAGAATCCCTTTCTTCATATTCTGTAGGGAAGGTCGAAGCCCACAGCACATCTGACTCTCCTTTTTTGGGCACTAAAAGTTGACTGAAGA